ACCGGAGACCCGCGGAGCAGCAGCACCAGCCGCCTCATCACGTCCAACCCAGCAACGCGGGTACGGTGGAAGGAGGGGTTGGCTCCTGCATGGCCACGGGAGGATGGGAGCACCTTCGTGGTATTTTTATCACTAGTGGAGGTTAAACCATGACACGGGGCAGCAGCCAAGCGGTTGTGAGGGGCTTCGCTGTGCTCTCCCACCTCCCAACACCAGTTAACGGATCTGTGTCCCCCCCCAGGCTACCAGCAGCAGCAGCCGCCGTCGTCTCAGTCCTACAGCTACAAGGAGCCCGCGGCACCAGCCTCTACACAGCGCAATGCTCCTTCTGGAGGGGGGGTGAGTGCACCCCGACACCAGTGCCCCCCGGTTTCCCCCACCACCACCACGAGGGTCAGGGTTTGCTCTGCTTGCTCCCACCCCTCTGCGGGGGAACAGCAGTTTGGAAGGAGCCGCAGCCGCCGTCGTCTCAGTCCTACAGCTACAAGGAGCCCGCGGCACCAGCCTCTACACAGCGCAATGCTCCTTCTGGAGGGGGGGTGAGTGCACCCCGACACCAGTGCCCCCCGGTTTCCCCCACCACCACCACGAGGGTCAGGGTTTGCTCTGCTTGCTCCCACCCCTCTGCGGGGGAACAGCAGTTTGGAAGGAGCCGAGCACAAGGACAGGCAGAGCATGGAATGGATTGGGAGCAGCCCTGAGGAGAAGGATTTGGGGTGCTGGGATGGGACATCAGGAAGGAATCCTTCCTGGAGAGGGTGGGGAGCACTGGGACAGGTTGCCCAGAGAAGTTGTGGATGCCCCATCCCTGGGAGTGTCCAAGGCCAGGCTGGATGAGGCTTGGAGCAACCTGGGTTAGTGGAAGGTGTCCCTGCCCATGGCAGGGGGCTTGGAATTGGATGATCTTTAAGGTCCCTTCCAACCCAAACCAGTCTGGGATTCTATGATTCTTTGAAGGGACTGGTGGGTGAAAACCTCCTAGATCTGGCACGGCTCTTGCGTGGGGCTCAGTGGGGCTCCTTCGGGTCTCCCCCCCCCATGGATGGCAGCTCTGCCCATCTGGGGCAGGCCACAAGGAGGGTCCGTGCCCGCTGACCCCTCTCTCTCCCCCCCCCAGAAGCGTTTCCGCGCCGTCTACGATTACAACGCTGCCGACGAGGACGAGGTCTCTTTCCAGGACGGCGACACCATCATCAACGTGCAGCAGATCGACGACGGGTGGATGTACGGCACGGTGGAGCGCACGGGCGACACGGGCATGCTCCCCGCCAACTACGTGGAGGCTATCTGAGCCGCGGGAGGGGACGGGGGCGCGTGGCTGATGGCCGAGTCCCCCTGCCTGCGCCTGCCCCGTGTGTGTGTGCGTGTGTGTGTGTGTCTCTGCCCCCTTATCCCGTGTGCTCCGGCATCACCAGCCGGAGTCGCGTCCCGACATCTCGTTGCTCTGTGTTTCTGCAGCCGCCGCCGGTTTCTCTTGCCAATTTAGCTTTGTTCTGGCTCTGCTGGGACCGAGGGGCTGTCTGCGAGGGGTTTCGGGGGAGCTCCAGGGACCAAACCGCAACCCGCCGCTGTTTTCCTTCTCTGTCGGTCTCCCTCGCCCTTCCAGCATTTCCTGGAAGCAGCCGGAGTCGCTGGGACCCCAGCAAAGGGAGACCATCTGGACCAAACTCCCCCGGGGCTGGGCAGAGTGCGGCGTGTCTGTGCGTGGGGGCGAGGGATGCCCTGGGCCGACGGAGGGGCCGTGGGCTGGCAGCCTCCACCCTGCACTGCTTTGGCTCGTTCCCATTGCTTCTCCCGGCTCCTCTGTGCAGCGTTTCCATTCAGTCTTCGCTCCCTTCAGTCCTCAGAACAAGAAAATCAGTCAAAATCTTGCTTTCTCCTTGGGATTCGGAGCGGCTGCTCTGGACAGCCCTGGAAGCCTCTTGCTGCTTCTGCCTCAGGCTCTGGCTGCCTTGTCCTGCCTCCCACATCCCTCCGGGGCTGAGCCGGGGCTCTGCTGCCGTAGGGAGAGGAGCTTTGCTTCTACTCCCACTGGAGATGGACTTGGCTCCCTGCTCCTCCACGCTGGGTCACCGAGACCTCACCTCCCCCCTGCATCCTTGGCTTTGTCTTTGGGCCGGGGTCTGGGGGTCCCGTGCACCCCATGTGCTGGGGCAGCCTCGTCCTCTTGGCAGCGATTGCTCCCCAAATTCACCCGGAGTCTTGCTTTTCTCTTGCTGCTGCTGGGCTTTTGGGACCCTCCTGAGCCCTCCGCCCTCTGGGTGGCTGGTCTGGGGAGCCGGCAGGATCAGCCCCTCTCCCTGTGCCTCTTCTGAGCTACGTGTGGAAGGTCCCTCCCCTCTGCCACCACACTGGGGACTGTCCTGGGTGACCGTTCCCTCCGGCAGCTCAGTCTCGAGTGGCAGAGACCGGGGTTTGGTACCCCGAGCCACCCTGCACCTCTCGCTGGTCCCCAGCGGCGGTGGCTTTAGGGGCCACCACTGGCTCGGGATCATGTCATGGACCAAAATCTCAAAGCACATCCCTGTCCCCTTCTCCTTCGGGCTCCGAAGGTCCTGGAGCTGGGCAAGGGGGCAGGTATAACTGGAAGCCTGTGTGGGGAGGATGGGAGTGGGATGGTCTGCTCCCGTTTTGGGGGAGTGGTGATGCCTTTGCGCTGCCTCTGGTGCTTTCACTGCCCCACCCTACTCAAAGCCCCCGGACCACCGAGATCGAGCGGCTGGAGGAGACCGTCCCCTTGCCGGGATGCTCCGGGCTTTGGCTGCTGCACTGCAGGGCCAGGATCTTTCCAAGGGGAAGCTGGCACCTTTGCTATTCCCATAGGAAAAGAGGGAATCTAGGGACCAAAGCAGCTGAGTTGAGACATTCCTTGGCTCTCCTTGGGACACCTCCCTGGGACACATCCTCGGGGATGGTCCTGCGGAGGGGGACAGGATCCCACCGCCTGGTGCTTGCAGTCCCCTTCTCAAAGCTCACGGGGCTGGTTCGTGGTCGGTGCTGGGGTCGGGGTGACGATTCAGGGGGTCCTGGAGCAAATGCTGTTCTGCTGGGGAGGGGGTTCCCCGCAGGACAGAGACCCCTGGGAGGGCATGAGCTGTGGAGAGGGGAGCCTTTGGCTCCTGGCTCGCTCCCCAGCCAGCTGTAATGGGAAGGGGGTGGAGTGACAGGGACTCCTGGCACCATCATCACCTTGGAGTGAAAATGGGACCCCAGGAGCAGCCAGGATGGGCTTTACGGGATGGGAATCCCAGTTGGTGCTAAAACAGGCGAGCACAAGAGCAGGGGAGAGGGGGCAGCTGGGGGAGAGGCTGTGTCTCCCTGCTAATCCTCTTCTTAATCACGTTCTTGTCTGGGAACGGGGGGAGCATCAATGTGAATCAACTGTTTTTTAATGGACCAAATAACAGGCAATTACATTTTGGGATAGGGACCTTTTTTTAACGCTACCTTGAAACCATTGTCCTAATTCTCCCCTCCCATGCCCTGCCCCTTCTCCTCTGCCGTGGGAAACAAACCTCTTACTGCTTGATTTCTGCCTTTTCTCTCGACTTATGCACTTTTTTGCCTTTTTTCATAGCTGAAAAGCACCTAAACCTGTATTTAAAATAAATAAAAGAATAAAATAGTTTAAAAAAAAAGGAAAAGAAAAAAAAAAAGCTGAATTGCTTCTCATCACGTGTAAAATAGACCTCGTCCATCCCAGCTTCCCCGGTTGCGTCTCAGTGCTGAGCTTAGAACGTTGTTTTCTTCCGGATCCGTCGCTTGATTGGGGTTTGTCCTTGTGTACTCCTTCCCGTCGGGTTGAGCACCCACTGATTAAAAAAAGAAAAACCCGTGATTTGGCCTTTTTAACCCAAGCATCGAGCGGAACAAACCCACCGATTCTCTGCCCCGGGTTACTCGAATTAAAAATAAAAGTATAATTTTTACCTGCCGACTGTGCTGCCTTTGGTTGCGGTTGTTCTTCTGCCCGTTTTCCTGCTCCCTTGGGACACGGCGGGGGTCTTGGGGCTGGGGGAGGCTGCTGGGAAACGCTGGCATCCCTGGGAGGGGACCTGGGATGGAGCTTCTTGACTCGTTCCTTGCTCTCAGCATGGCTTGAAGCCAAGGGATGCGCTTGAAGCGGAGCCCCACTGAGGCTGCCGGGTACCACAGAGCCCCGGGAAACCAGCCTCCAAATTCAGAGCATCCCTCGCAAGGAGCGGAGGTGCAAGCAATGCCAACCTGCTTCCTGACCCGCTCCGGGGCCCTGTTCCCAGTTCTAAACACCGGTTACAATGTGGCTCTGGGATCTGCTGGGGTTCAGGTGCTGGCAGCTGCTCCAGAGCCCGGATCTACCCAGAGAAGCAGTCAGCTTCGCGGTGGGTAGCGCAGCATGGGCACCGAGTGCTGGCTTTGCCCCATCTCGCCGGGAACGCGGCACCACAAAATCTTGGAGGGTGGTGAAAGACATTATTTGTACCTACAGCACTATCAAAAATACTCTTAAAATAGAAAGTCTCCATGGCTGTTGTTGCTCACTTAGAGCCGTGTTGCTTTAAACCGTGGTGACACGGAAAGCGAAGGATGCGGCAGTACCGGACTCTGAAAGGTGAGAGCCGGGAGCATTCCCAGAGGATGGACAGGGGTTTGTGGTACTCAGAGCTCATTTTTGCTTCATTCCCCATAGGGTGGGCCCTTCCCCAGCTGCAAACGGGGGGCCACAACACTGTAAGCACCAACATGAAGGGGGAGGCTGGGGTACAACAACCCTCCCACGGGCAGACGGTGCCTCCCGGGACCCCGCTCGCAGGTCCGTGCTAAGCGATGGGAAGCTGAAGCTCCAGCTGACCACGGGTGTTTATCCCTTTATTTTCCGCCTGCTGGAAAGCAGCTCCATCAGCTCCGGCATTCCCCCCAAGCCGGAGCAGAGCCAGCCGTGCTCCGGCTGCGAGGGGAGAACGCAGCGAGCCGTGGGGGCTGGTGGCCCTGCCGAGCAGCCCGGTTCCACGCCGTGGGGAGCCCGGCAGCTCCCGCCCCACCGGCTCCTCGCTCGCCATGCTGGATATTTTCATCCTGATGTTTTTTGCCATCATCGGCCTGGTGATCCTCTCCTACATCATTTACATGCTCTAGAGCGATGCTGAGGAAGATGCGGCCCCGCATCACGCAATCGAAGCATCGTCCAGGTGAGCCGGCTGCTCCTCATCCCAA